CATGGACCGGCTCTGTGGGGCCGCTCTCCTCCCCGCGCTGCTGTCACTGTTCTCGTGCTGGTACCCGGCTATTCAGTTACACGCTGTCCAGCATCCCTAGCAGGGAGAAAGGACTCCCCACCTCAGCGCCTGGGCTGGGCGCTTATCCCCTGGCCACCCGGGGTCTGGGGGAAGGGCACCTCGGCCCCACATAGACACCCACGGAGAAAAATTAGCAGGCGCTCAGCACCCGCAGCAGGTAAGTTGCTGCCTCCTTGCTGGTACCCGGCTATTCAGTTACACGCTGTCCAGCATCCCTAGCAGGGAGAAAGGACTCCCCACCTCAGCGCCTGGGCTGGGCGCTTATCCCCTGGCCACCCGGGGTCTGGGGGAAGGGCACCTCGGCCCCACATAGACACCCACGGAGAAAAATTAGCAGGCGCTCAGCACCCGCAGCAGGTAAGTTGCTGCCTCCTCCCAGCACCTGCTGCAAAAGGCTGTTTTGAGGGATGCGGGAAGGGAGGAGGGGGGATGGCCGTTAGGGTGGGGGAGGAGCTGGGGTGCTCACTGGGAGTGGAGCACCCCTGGCTAGAGGGGAAGTCGGTGCCTAGGTTCCCCTGCCTGCAGCAGGTCTGAGCTGGGGCTGGGCCCGCAGAGAGAGGCGCCTCTCCCCACTGGGCAGGCCCAGGGCTGGAGGAAAGGCCTCTCTTCCCCACTGCAGCCCCCAGCGCCTGCCCGCTGCTGAATAGGCTGCTGCTTGGCTGCCCACTTTGGTGTGGGCCACGTGGTGCTGGTGACATCCTCCGGGGGGCGACCTCCCTGCTAGGGCAGAGGCTGCGGCTTTGAACCCGCGACCCAGAGGAAGAAGGAGGTGAACCCATTTAGCCACCCGGCTGCTTCGTGTGTTCTCCACTGCTGTCAGCTGCCTGGCTTAACCCCCCCCGGCCACGGCCTGCCTGAATCACTGACTTCCCCCTTCGCCTGCAGGTCAGCAGCAGGAGGACAACCGAGTGATGGTTTACTCTGCGCTGCAAGTCCCTGTCGAGGACTGAACTCCTCCTCAGGCCAGGACATGCCTGCTAGACACACCCAGGGAAGACCGATACCCCAAGTGCCCTGTTCTCTGCAGCTGGGAGCAGCCTGGGACCCACCCCCCCATGGCAGGAGCTGGGGTGTGGGACTCGGAGCCCCTCAGAACAGATCCTCCTGCTCACGCCCGCGGCCTGGGACTGCTGCGATGGTGGAGGCGGGGCTGGTGCCCTGGTGATTTCTGTGCTCTGGATTCGGGGGCCGGGGTTGCTTTCCCCCTCGCTGTCCACTCGACACCAGGCCTCTCTGACGCGCTCGAGCCAGATCTGCCCAGGATCAGGGCCGCAGCAGGGCTTGCAAACTCTGCTTTCCCCCTGCCTGGGCGGGGAGTGGCCCATGGCTCCTCCGTCTGTGGGCCAGCAGCAGGCCGTGCCGGAAAGCCCTGGCCCTGAGGACCGGCACTTTGGGAAACGGCTTTTGAAACGGGCCTTTTC